AGGTCCCCTAGGATGTCCAGCAATGAATGAACAAGGTGACACAGAGACAGCAAGACATATTTTTCACTGAATATTATTTTGTATCTTTTGAAATTTGAGCCATGCATTATTTAAAAATATATATGTCATTTAATAAATTTGTTATAAATCTCTGAGGGAATCCAAAGAAGCCCTCATTTTCCAGAGGAGAAAACTAAAGCCAAAAAAGTAGAGGAGCTGGGGCGCCTGGGTGGCTCAGTGGGTTAAAGCCTCTGCCTTCGGCTCAGGTCATGATCCCGGGGTCCTGGTATCGAGCCCCGCATTGGGCTCTCTGCCCAGCAGGGAGCCTGCTTCCCCCTCTCTCTCTCTCTGCCTCTGCCTACTTGTGATCTCTGTCAAATAAATAATAAAATCTTAAAAAAAAAAAAAGTATATGAGCTGCTCAAATCATACTGCCAGAGAGTAAAAAAGCTGGGACTAGAACTCAGGAACCCAGTAGAAGTTTCCAGTGTCTCCCGCAATGCCATGTGGTAAAACAGCAAATGCCATCTTATAAACAATAAAAGTATTACTATAACCCTCTTCAGAACCATGGTCTTCCAGGGGTTCTGTGACTCACATGACACAGTACTCATCATTTATGTTTTTGCAGAAGTACTAAGGCAGCGAGACAGAGAAGGCAATCCTCATTATCAAGCCCTCACGGCAGGTATTAAAATGAGTAAATAAAGACAGCACATCAATCAGCATGTGGCCATGGCGTCTTCCCTCAAGCATAAGTGGATTTAAGCCTTAACCAGGCCAGGAAAATTTTGCAGCCTTCATTATTTCTGACAGTAAGGACATCTGATGAGGCAGAATAGATTTAGCAGAACAAAGAGCTTATTTCTAGTGAATGGATTCAAAGGAGATAAAGCAAAAGCAGAGCACAGGAAATTCTAGTTTGAAAGAAGCCATAATAATTCCACTCTTCTCAAAAAGGAGAACGAAAGGAATGATCAAGGCCCCTTCTCGTCCCAAAGTCCTCCAATACGGAGAAGCAAGGCAACTTCAACTCTGCCTCCGAGTAATTCAAGCGTGTATTTCCCCTTAGTAAGAACAAATGTTAGCATTTTCTTTCAATGGGCACAGATGCAGGAAAAACAGCAGAGTTTCCATAGGAAAGAATAAGCGAAGTCAGAAATGAAAACTATTCCAAAAAAATGTCTGAGTCTGTCTGCTTGGAACAGAAGGGTCTCAGAAAAAAGAAAATTTACTGCAGAGGATTAGTCTCTCCTTTTTAGGTCTGCATTTGGAGAAATACATGCATGTTTGATGTTATTAGGAGCTTTTAATATCTGCCAAACATACTGCAGTCATTGATTAGTTATTCTGAGTATATTTAAGCACTGGGTAAGTCTATTTGCCAACAATTAGCTGATCTGATGAACCATTCAAAAAAGAGAAAGGGGCACACCTGGCTGGTGCAGAAGGTAAAGTGGCTGACCCTTGGATTTTGTCTCAGTTCACGTAGTCTCAGTCCAGGGATCCAACTCAGTGGGAAGTCCACTTCAGGATTCTCTCCCTCTGCCCCTCCCCGTGCTCGCTCGCTCTCGCGTGCACATACACTCTCTAAAATAAATAAATCTTCAAAAAGAGAGAACGTGAGAGAGGATAACAAGCCTGGACAATACATAACCTCCAGCTACTATGACTGTTTTTATTCCTAATGAGAAAGCATGGATAAACCACAGGCTAGAACATTCTTAGTCAACCGGGTCACAAGGTCACATCACACGGAGAAATCTCTCACCATACCTTCAATTCTCTATCAGGGACAAAGGCCAGAGAAAGCTCAAGTTCTAGCACTAGCCAGGCATGGTCATTTCCAGGGAATCTATAATACAAAATGCCTAGCTTCATCAAAGGTCCTGAGAGTGATGTTTCAAATTCCATCCCCAATTTTCACCCGCTATTTCAGAAATAGGAAAAATAATTGAAGTTTGTTAGTAATTTTTCCACTTCATTGAAATCTTCCTCATGGTAAACAATCAAAGGAAACATGGTAAAATTCAAAGGAAAAAAAAAATCACAGGAAACTTAAGTCAGATGTTATACTTCATATCGAAAGGTATTAATACCAAAAACTGTATCAATGTATTTCACCAAAAACATTAAACACGCAACCTGAAGCCAAAATAGAAGAGACATTCCACTCCTTCTCAGCAACGACTGAGTTAAACAGTCATAGAAACTGCACTTAATATTACCTAGGGCAGTTGAAACATTAAGTGACTCACGCTCTCCTTTGATGTCATTTTTTAAACTAAAGAGCTGTTTTCTTTGCAAAGAAAAAGAAGGGAAAACTTTAAAATCATCCCTTTAAACTTCAGATCCAATAGATTAAAAGCCACTTTGCCTCCTGGTCTCAGTTTCAAAGTCAATTCCTCGCCCCACCCCCCAAAAATCACGAGTCATATATCAAATATCTGGTACCCAAGAAATTTATTGCCATAAATTCATTCAATTAATTTACTGAATGACCACACTGAACATACACCATCTGAATTCAACAAAGACGCTGAATTTTATCTTTACGTCCTCCTAGCATTTCCATGGTTATACTGGTAAACGTGGGTTATTTTCTCTCAATTTGAGAAAAAGAAAGTGCAGTGAACAAATCTTTCAGATAGCAGCTATCACATAAATAAAATCTGATGAAAGGGGAAAATAGGGGTTCTCTATGCCCAACACCTCCTTGTGACGTTTTTAAATGGTTTAGAATCGTCTAAATATCTACTAATCTAAATATCAGACTAAATCCTTACATGCTACATCTTTATTTGCCATGGTAATGGCATAAAAAGCGGGGAATACTGTTGGCGTGTATGAGTTCAATTCTCCGACAATGCCGAAGTTTGAAGCCAATGAATTCATGCCGCTCCCCCTTAACTTTCCATTAACCTAGCTAACCAGAAATTGACAGACTGAGATTTCGGATTGTTTTATTTCCCAGGCTCCCCCTCTGGCGGAGGCAGGAAAGAGGGGCGCAAACAAGGGGTATGGTAAACTGCAAATAAGACGAACAATCCTAAATAAAAGACAATTACTATGAAGCAGATAGAAGCGAAAGATTAGTTTTGCACTTTCAGCCCTGGGACTCCGTTCCAGAATTCAGCACCGCCTGCCAAAAGCAATGGCATTAGAGCAAATGATTAAGTATCACCCACAACCTTCCGCCTCAACACTCCCGGGAAGGACTTCATCCACCTCAGTTATGATCCTGCCGGGCAGTGCGTGAGGAGCGGCGCTAACGCATTTTGAGTAAGCGAGGCCCACAGAGCGCAAGACGAGCTCATAACGAAAACTCCAAGAGTTTCCCAAGCAGGGACCTCAACACAAAGTCCCTGCTCTCGGTGCAGGCTGCAGAGCCGCTGCCTCCTACCGCTCACCGGGAAAAAGGGATCCCTCCACCGCAGAGCGGGGGTCCCAAAACTCGCCTCCTGCCGCCAAATCCGTCCCTCCCTCCCCGACCCGAGCCCACCACCCTCTCTTCAGAGCTCCCAGAGAGGATCGCCATGGTCTCACTCAGTCCTTCCGCCCCGCTCGAGACGAGACCAGCCACCACCCCTCTCGGACCTGTCCCCGCGGGGTCCGAGCCGGCAGCGCGACGCCTCCATCCCCACGGCTCAGGAAGTGGCAACCAAGTCCAGAACCCCCGACGCCCCTGCTAGGGTGGCAAGCCTGGCCGGCGACCGGGCCCCGCCCCCTGGCAACCGCACCCCGCACTGTTGCCTCCGTCTATTGGTCCTCGTGCCCATCGCTCGTCTCTCATTGGCTATTGCTGCCGCCCGGCGATGCGGGAGGGTTTCTAGGGGGCGGAGGCGCCGGGAGTTAAAGGCGCCTGCGCCGGAACTCGGGTGACACGCTGGGTAAGGCTGGGTCCCCCGAGCGCTTCTCCCGCATGGGATGGGGTGGAGGGCGGAGGGATGTGTTCGCGTCAGTCGCGTTGGCTCCCAGCGGGGGCGGGGGGGGGGGGTCAGTTTGTCAGAGGAGCGGCGCATCCCCCTAACCGCCACCCACTGAGCTGCCTCCCCGCGTCGCCGCCGTTTGTACCCAGAGACCACCCAGAGCGCTCTCCGGAGGTCTGTAATGTTAGGACTCACTCATAGACCTCTGCCGGCGCCCTCACAGTCCGGGCCCTCCCGACACCAGAGCCTTTCGGGAAGCACACTTGCACCCTCTCCAGCAGTCATTGCCTTTGAATGCGTCTTTCATAGTTATCTGGTATCGCATTCCATCTGCACAAAATTCCTTCAGCCTTCCCTACTCCAGCCCAAGCTTTTACAGCATTGCTGGATCAATTCTACAGATTTTAAGAACCTTTCCCATTTACCTCTCTGTGGATGATCCTCAAACATCCATATCCCACGAGATTCCCTATCCAAATATGTACTCTCATTTCCAATAAATTTTGTCGCCACTTCCTTTCTCACCACCAACGTACACGTATTATTGTAACCCCTACAAAACACCCTGGCACAAGTTACCGCATGTTGTCTTTATAGCATTCGGAGGTCAGCTGTTTCCACACTGGTTTGCCTTTCTAAGAGGCACAGAAGTTGGCACAAGCTGGGAGAGCAGAGCATCCCTTTGATGTGTCAGCCTCCGCTCTCTGGGGGACCCTAAACACAGTTGATTATGGGGGCTTCAGAGTCCCATCTATGAAATAAACAGAATAATCCCTGCTTGTTTAGCTCCGGCTAGACCGGACAGAGTAGTTGCTTAAAACTGAACGGATGCAGTTGAAAGAGATGCTATCTGTATTGGTGAAAGGGCAACCGAGGCAGTTTTTGACTGGGCAGACGTGCTCTAGTCACAGTAAGTAGTCTTCTCTGACAAGTTTCCATATTTAATTACATACATTTCAAGAAATCATTTTCCCACCCTATTTGATATTTACAGATTAGTTTGGTTGCAAATAAAAAAACCAAAATACGGCAAACCTAAGCAACTTATCTACATCCCCTTTATGACCCCTGACCCCATTGTATTCAGTTAGGGCTTGCTGCCTTTCCTCACCTTGGCCTTTGAGCAGAGGAGCAAGGTTGCAGAGGGGACAGCTCAGCTACAAAGTCGCTTTAAGTTTGCTTTAATTTTTCCCTGCCCATCATATCATAAAGGAAGCTGCTGCTGAGCCTGACACAGAGTTTGTACTCAAAAATGTGGAATGAATTAGTTTGAATGAGGTGATTAGAGGATTAATTAGTGGTTTTTAAAAAACAATGAAGACAGACCTTTTGTGGAGAAGGCAGTATTGCTGAGTGATTGGTAATCAGAAGCAGGGGTCTCTAAAACCTTTCTGCAACCATTTATTTACATACATTTTAAATAGTTACTACAAGATACTTTAAAATTTTAAACAGTTAATGTAAGAAAAATATGAACTGTTTCTGACACTAAAAACTTTCTAGGAAAAGATATTTTAAAGAGCAAATCTGGGAATTGAATTCCCTTATGACTCCAAAATTCTGATTAAGACATCTTTTTTCTATTGAGGTTATTGATTTTATTTCTGTTTTATTCTCCTAATGTACTCTCCTGCAAGCCAGAAAAGTACTTTAGCAACTTCATGAAAATTTCTCAAGACTGTTGGAGTCTGAGGAATCCAGTGAGTTCTTCACAAGGAACTGGTTTTTGTTCAGCTTCCCTCTCTCCCTGAGGTAAGTAAACAAGTGGCATCGTCTCCTCCATGTGACCTTAATCCCATACTTCTCTTCAGGGGTGTCTTTAACTAGAACAGGCCCAGCCTCTGGGCTCTTGGGAGTACTAGTGTGGAAGGAGCCGCTCAGAAGGCTACGTTCCCTCTGATCGGGGGAAACAGGCCCCTCCTTCACAAATGATGACTCTGGGGTCTGGATATCAGGTGGAATGAATACATAAGGTAAGTTTTGAAGCACGTGTGCTGACACTTCCCCACAGCTTTGAGGACTGAGCATTGGAACTAAGGACCTTCCAGAAATGCGCTTTTCTGACTGACCAGGACATTCCCTGGTCAAGGGCGCCCCAAGTGCAGCTGAACTGGAGGAAGACAGCGGACTCTCAAATGTTAGATGTGGGAACTTGGAGGTGGTGGATTTTCGACTTGAATGTCTTGCCTGGTTTCGACGATGATGCTTCTGGTTCACTGGGAACCAGCCTTCTGCTGTCATATCAAACTGAGGTGATACCTTAAGGATCAAAAACAAAAACCAAAAAGAAGTGAGGCAGGCCAGCTACCAAGTAGGAACCTGAGGGTGGAAACTATACCGAAGGACCAGAATTCTAAATGGGGGCCCACTATAGTAATGGCCACAGAACAAAATATCCTTCTAACAGGATATTAAAATAAAGGGATATGAGCTTTGGGCAAGTAATTCGATCTCTCTGGCTTTCGGCTTCCTCGTGTTTAAGAAAAGGGACAATGCCTCCTTTACTTTATCACACCACAACTTGTTTAACAATCTTTAAACTTTGAGGGCAGCGACCAGCAATCTTCCTCACTTTGATGCCCAGCACCTGGCAGAGTGCCTGGCACGAAGAAGGCCCCCAGTGGAGTGAATGCTGAGTTCAAGAATAGGGAATGAGATCATGTATGGGAAGCAGCTAGCATTAAAACCTGACACATGGGGGCGCCTCGGTTGCTCAGTGGCTTAAGCCTCGGCCTTCGGCGCAGGTCATGATCTCAGGGTCCTAGGATTGAGCCCCACATCAGCCTCTCTGCTCAGGGGGGAGCCTGCTTCCCCTTCTCTCTCTGCCTGCTTCTCTGCCTACTTGTAATCTCTCTCTCTGTCAAATAAATAAATAAACTTAAAAAAAAAAAACCCACGCAACTCTTCTTTAAAAAAAAAAAACACCCGACACATGAAGAGTTCTCTAAATGTTCACTCCTCACCCACGGGATTCTAACATTTCAGTTTCTTCTACAATTCCTAAGCAAGTATTTGTTTCTTCCAAGCAATCCTGAACAAGCTATATTTATTAAGCACTCTTAAGTTTATGCTTTTGTCTGGCCCTCTGGCTATACTACTGCCCTGACAGTAGCTGTATTCTCTTCCTAGAGCCTTGAAACTGTCAAAATATGATATGTCATTTCTGTGGGTTTTTTCCCAGGTTCACTCTATTAAACTGTAAATACCATACCTAGTTAAATAGTTTACCTCTCAAGTGAAGCTTGGGGAACAGTCTCATTTTTGACTCATTCTGCCATTTATCTGGCTGCTTCAGTGACCTACTGGGTAATGAAACTTTTATACTGAACTCTTTAAGAAGAATGTGGAGGGAAAGACTCCTACTCCAACCAGCCTTTGCCTCAGCTTGAACTTAGAAAATATACAGGGCGCGGGGTGGCTCAGTGGATTGAGCCTCTGCCTTCGGCTCAGGTCATGGTCTTAGGGTCCTGGAATCAAGGCCCTTGTCGGACTCTCTGCTCAGCGGGGAGCCTGCTTCCCCTATTCCCTCTCTCTGCCTGCCTCTCTGCCTACTTGTGATCTCTCTCTCTGTCAAATAAATAAACAAAATCTTTAAAAAGAAAAGAAAATATACAAAGATGGCTGATAACAAAAAGAATACATTGCCTCCTTATCCCAGTCCCCAGGAACCTTTGGAGGCCCTGGCTCAAGGGGCAGAAGTGGCAGCATTCTGAAAAGCCTAACCGAGCAAAAGTCAAAGTAAGAATCCCATGGCCTACCCAGGAAGTGACGGTGTTATGGTCAATGGGCTTGCTGGGCACCTGTCTAGTGTGGGTGATGGTAAGCTGGGGAGAGCCATAGTGGTGTTTGGGGCCCTCCAGTGGTGGTTCTTGGAATAGCAGCTGGCCTTTCTGGGAACGCTGGCGGCGTTTTTTTCTGGGAGGCATCAATAGGTGAATGAAGAGCAGTTAGTAACCGCATGATGCTGGTTGTAGTCAGGCGGGAGTTCAGGCTCCGATTCCAACCCATGCCTGCAGAGGGGAAAAAACAAAAGGTGGGAGACAATTCTGATGATTCCGTCCCCAGCTCTTGTTCATCCTCTGTCAACCAGTACTACTATCAACTACCACCCCTACCTCCACACTGCAGGGAGCACAGCTTCCTATCCCTACGACCACCAAGTAAAAACACAGGAGTTCCTGTTCAACAACGTTCATTCAATGCACACTGATCGAGCGTGTGCTGGATGCCATGCTGGGCGTTGGGAATTTAAAGATGCATAACCATTGATTCTACGATCATTTATCAAGTGCCAAGTGCTTGTAGGGACACAAAGGTAAGATTGTGCCTGTCTTCAAAGAACTGAGAGGCTAGCAGAGAGAGACAGAAAATTATGATAAAGAATGCTTCCACGTACTGCGGGGGAGGCTTTCTAGAGAGGGTAATACCTGACCTAGTTACAGAAGGGCTAGGGAAAGCCTCCAGGCTGAGGAACAGCACATACAGAGGCCCGGAGACAAGACTGAGAATTCAAGGTCTCATAGACTCCATGCAGCAGGACACAGCATATGCAAAGACAGATGCAAGACCTCAGAGGCTGGACCCGTGTCAGGGTCAAGTCAGAAAAAGCAGGTGTGGGGCACTGGGGTGTTGCTCAGATGGTTAGGCGGCTGCCTTCGGCTCAGGTCATGATCTCCAGGTCGGGGATCGAACCCCACATCAGGCTCTCAGAGGGGAGCCTGTTTCTCCTTCTGCCTCTGCCTCTCCCCCTGCTTGTGTGCTCTCTCTCTCTCTCAAGTGAATAAATAAAATCTTAAAAATAAAAAAAAAGAAAAAGGAAAAAAGCAAGTGTGCCATACGTGTTTGGACTCTAGCCTAAGTTGTCGCTGAAGATTTTCAAGCAGAACGATGTGATCACACTTAGATTGTTTTTTTAACTTTCTCTTCAGATAATTTTGAACATACACAAAAGGGGGATGAATAATATGAGCCCCCAAGTACTCATCACCCAGCTGCAACGACCATCAACCCATAGCCATCCGGATCCATCACACCCTTCATCCACTTCCCCTACTCCTGTATTATGAAGATGATATTGCCAACCATTATATCATCTCCATTAATTATACATACATATATATATATATATATATATATATATATGTATATTCCTTAATATTATCAAATATGCAGGGATGCCTGGGTAGCTCAGTGGGTTAAGCTTCTACCTTTGGCTCAGGTCATGACCCCAAGGTCCTGGGATCGAGTCCCGCATAGGGCTCCTTGCTCAGCGGGGAGCCTGCTTCTCCCTCTGCCTGCCACTCCCCCTGCTTGTGCTCTCTCTGACAAATTAAAAAATGTATTATCAAATATCTAGACCTGTTCAAATTTTCAATTGTTTCATAAATGTCATAATTAGTTGTTTTTGTCTTTTAGACAGGTCATCCTGGCAACAGCGTGGAAGGAGAGGGAGTTCTCTCGAAGTAGGCGGTCAGGTTTTAGGAGGTTACTTAAGTGAGAAATGATCAGGCCTGAATCTGGGCTACGTCAGTGGAAATGGGGGCTAGACACAGAAGCAGGACTAACAGGCCCATGGAGTAATAAAAAGTCTGAAAAAAGTGGCCAGATCTAGTAACCAGATCGACTTCAGTAAGAGCTTCATCAGTGGAAGCGTGGGAGAGAAGTTTGCGTGCAACGGAGAGTTGCATGGGAGGTGCAGCTGAGCATCTGGCAAAGTCCCCCAACAGGGCAGATAGGTCCCACCACACATTCATGATTCATTCAGTCAGTCAACAATAAAAAGTAGCATACTCTTATGTTACTTATGTCACTAGGCAGTGGAGATACAGGTAAAGGAAAAAGAAAGGACAAAACTCAGGAACTAACATTTTTAGGGAGAACACAGGTAATATACCCAGCTGTTTGTCTGTTCGTTCAGCCATTCAGTCAACACTTACTGAGTGCCCACAGTGCTAGGCCCTGTTCCTGGGGCTGGAAATATAAACCAGAGAACAAAATGAAATCCCTGCCCTCATGGTGCTTACATCCTAGCTGGGAAGGGTCTATGGAGAAAAACCACAAACAGGATAAGGGATTGGCCCAACTCGGTGCTCTTTTAGACAGGGTTGTCAGGGAAGGTAACTGAAAAAGTGATATCTGTGCAAAGACCTGAAATGAAGAAAGAGAAGATGAGAACCAGTTCAAGTGACACAGGGCTTCACAGGCAAGGAGAAGGACTCTGGACTTAATTATTCTTGGTGTGACAGGAAGCCACGGCAAGGCTCTGGACAGCGAAGCGACATTAATATTTTACAATGATAACTTCAGACAGTCTGTAAGAACAGGTGGGTTGGGAGAGCAGGCGTGGAGAAAGGAAGCAGGGTGCCCAGTTAAAGGGCTGCTGCAGGAGTCCCGTGGAGAGAGGACAGCAATAGCAATGACTCCAAAGTGTTGACATTAGCCAGCCTCCAATAGACATGACATTGCTAGGCAGTAATCCTACTACGTTTCCTTCATCAACTCATTATCTGCAGATTATCTTAAGATATTTCCACTTTCTTAAAACCTTAGAACTCCCCATCCCTCTTAACAAATGACCTTACTTCCTACTTCACAGAGAATGCAAGAGACACCAAAGAAAATACTCTCACTTTCCAGATACCGAACATACAAACCTATATATATCTGCATCCATTCTCTTCATACTACAATCGCAGGTCAGTCCTGTTTGCTCTCTAAAACCTTTCCGTCTGGCTGTGTTTTGGAGCTTTTCTTACTTTACACACCTTTCAGAGGCAATCATCGGCTCACACCTACAAGTGGATGACTTAAATATTTATACGCTCAGCTTAGAATTCTCTACACTCAGTACCCACATACCCACTGCCTACTTGACACCAACTAGATGTCTCAAATACAGCTGAAATTCAACTTATTTATATATTTTAAATTTTCCAGTTGACTCTAAATATCTTTTTTTTTTCCTTTTTAAGATTTTATTTTTTTACTTATTTGACAGAGAGAGAGAAAGCCCACAAGCAGCAAGAGTAGCAGACAGTGGGAGAGGTTGCAGACTCCCTGATGAGCAGGAAGCCAGATGAAGGGATCTATCCTGTACCCCTGGATCAAGACCCAAGCCAAAGGCAGACACCTAACTGACTAAGCCACCCAGGCGCCCTCAAACTCAACATATTTAAAGATTTTATTTCTTTATTTGACAGACGGAGATCACAAGTAGGCAGAGAGGCAGGCGGGCGGGGGGGGTAAGGGGGGGTGGGAACAGGCTCCTTGCTGAGCAGAGGGCCCGATGCGGGGCTCAATCCCAGGACCCTGAGATCACGACCTGAGCCGAAGGCAGAGGCTTAACCCACTGAGCCACCCAGGCGCCCCATAACTCAACATATTTAAAACTGAATTCATGATCCTCTCCCCTGCACCTGCTCCACAGGTGATTATCTTCCAAGGCCCTTGCTCGGGGTATGGTATGATCATTCTTCTAGTTACGTAGCCAGAAACCTTGACATGTCCCACCTCTGTCCCCATCCAACATCATCAAGCCCTGACAACCTTACCTCTTAAGCATGTCTTCAATAATGCCCCTTTTGCCCCTCTCTCATGCTCTTTCTCTCCCCACCACCTTTGAAGTTCCAACAGTCCTGATCTGGAGTATTGCAGTAGCCTAAACGGGTCTACCCTCATCCGCTCCAGCACCCCCTGCAGGGGAAGCTTTTAAAAATGCAAATCTGATCTTGACTCACAGCTTAAAATTTCTGATTTCTGGATAAGGCCCAAACTCCCTCAGTTATGGCTAAGATCCTATTTCCTCTAGCTCCAGCTTCGTCTCACACCACACTCTATTCAGGTCTCTCAGCCCTGGCTCCTGCTATTCTTCAGGCTTTGTACACCCCCAATCTTCTTCCTGCCACACAGCCTTTGCACACCATCTTCCCTTTGCTTTGCGGCGTCCACTCCCTTCTTTGCACAAAGGCATCAGACCTCAGAACAAGCTTCTGTCCAGAAAAGTCTTTCCCGACCTACCGAAGGCAAAATCTTATGGTAGATACTCAGTTATCAATGACCTCTCTAATTTATCCCTTCGCAGCTATAATTCTCCTCTTGCTTATTCGATTCTTCAGAAATGGCTGTTGTCTCCTCTCTTCCCGTCAGACTGTATACGGGGTAAGGAAAGAACCTCCCCTACTACCACTGGTACCCTAGCAGGGCCTGGCACATAGTAGGTGCTCATCAAAATGTGTCGACCAAGTTAATCAAGTATTATCATGGCGTGGTTTTCTTTAAGATGGAGGAAGCTTAAACAAGATGTCACGCCGGTCGACTAGTCGAGGCGGCCAGACGATTGTTCGTCGGCGGGGCAAGGAGTCGTTTCCCCCCAGGAGGGAAGCCAAACCCGGGAGGCTTTGAAAAGGCCGGAGGACCGCGAGAGAGGCGGGAAGAGCGGCGCCGGGGGCGGGCGCAGGACAGCGACCCCGAACGCGCGAGGGAGCGCAGGCCGAGGGCGCCGGCCCCGGGCAGCGCCATCTCCCCGCCGCCCCGGCCGGCCCGGCCGCCCCCCGCCGCGGGGGCCCCTCCTGCGCCCTCCAGGCGGCCCCCGGCCGCCCCCCTCCCCACGAGCCGGCCGCCGGCCCGCCTTACCCGCCCGGCAGCGTCCCGGCCGCGGCTCCCCTGGGCCGCCGCGGCTTTCGAGCCCGGAACGCTGAGACAAGGACGGCCGCCGATTGGCGACGCTCCGTCACGTGACCGCAACGCTCCGCCGGCGCCAATTTCAAACAGCGGAACAAACTGAAAGCTCCGGTGCCCGACCCCACCCCCGACCCCCTGGCCCGGGACCCCTCCCCTCCCGGGATCCCCCGGGATTCCCCACCCCTCCCACACCGCCGGGGACCCGGCCGGCCTGGCGCGAGTCCCTGTCCGGGCCCCTGGCTCGGCCCCCAGGTTGGAGGAGCCGGGAGCCCACCCTCGGAGCCACAGCCCAGCAGCAGCGGCGGCGGCTGCAGACGCGAGGTGAGCGGAGCGGGGCGGGGGCGGGGTGCGGAGGAATGGAGTCGGAGCTGGGGCCGGGGCAGAGGCAGGGAGCCCGGGCTCGGGCGCCGAGGTCAGGGGGTCTAGCGGCAGGGCGCAGGACTGGAGTGGAGGTTTGGGGCCCCACGGGAAGGAGGGCTGGGAGAGGGAGCAAACTTTTTCTGCCTCCAACCTCCTGGCCTTTTCCTCGCTTCTTCCTCACACCACCTCTTGGCCTTCCCTGGAATTTTGACCTCTGTGCCCTGCCCACAACCTCGGGGCTGCTGCTGGGGTGGCCTACTTTTCTAGGCCGACCGTGGCTGGCGTGAAGATTGAGCTTATTCTGCATTAAGTCAAAGACAAAACTGTCCACACCCTCCGCTCCTCCCAAGCGCTCTCACCACTGAGCAGCACAGCCTCCACCCTATCCTTTTCCAGGGCCCTTCTCCTGGTTCCTGAGAACCTGCAAGGTTTCCCTGGTCAGGATGGGCAGTGGTGTCAGAGGAGTCACTCTGGAAGTCCCCTAGCTTAAAGAGTTGGCCATGATAGGAAGAGACTGGTCAGAGAGTTGAAAGCAAAATTAAGCCTTAGACCTGGAAGATACCTTTTGGGGATGGGGAAGGAATAATAGTATTTCCTCATTGGTGGGCAAGGGAGGAAGGGAGGGAGGGAGGCAGGCCCAAAGAGACAGGAGGTAGAAATAAAACTGAGATTTGAAAGTAGAGGAAACCTAGTTATAAAGGAAAGGAAGGGGGCGAGTGGAGAGAGCCTGTGAACTCTAAGCAGGTGGCAAATGTCTTTGGGCTGTGACAGACATTTTTAGGAGATACTGGATTTCCTAACACAGACAGCCCATTTTTCTGTCAAAGTGCCTTTAAAGAGGATTACATGATTTTACATGATGGCGGAGTATTCCGTGTATCTATTAAAATCATCAAACACAAAAAAATTTTTTTAAGATTTTATTTATTTGAGAGAGAGAGCACGAGAGCGGGGTGAGGAGTAGAGGGAGAAGCAGACTCCCCGCTGAGCAGGGAGCCCAACGTGGGGCTCGATACCAGGACCCCGGGATCATGACCTGAGCTGAAGGCAGATGCTTAAGTGACTGAGCCACCCAGGCGCCCAATAAACACATTATTTTTTAATTTTTATTATTTTTTATTATTATTATTATTATTTTTTAATTTTATTTGACAGACAGAGATCACAAGTAGGCAGAGAGGCAGGTAGAGAGAGAGAGGGAAGTAGGCTCCCTGCCAAGCAGAGAGCCCGATGCGGGGCTCCATCTCAGGACCCTGGGATCATGACCTGAGCCGAAGGCAGAGGCTTTAACCCACTGAGCCACCCAGGCGCCCCAACACATTTTTTTAAAAGATAAAACTATTTTCCTTAACATGACAAAGCCAACTTAGCATATTGATGATCGCACATTCTGTTGGCCGAGAGATAGGGAATGTAGTCTTGGTTCTGGAAGAGAAATCAAGCAATCGAGTGACATGCTTAAAAAGTTAAAATATGAATAAGCACATGCAAGTACTAAAATGTCGCTATAGAAATACTTTGCAAATTGTGAAAGAAAAGTGTACTCTTGCTTTTACCAGCAAGGATAATAGCCTGTGAGATGAATAGCACCATGGGCTTTGAATAGAGCAGTTTCTGTTTTCTTTTGAGGTCTTGTGAAGTGGGAGACGATGGCAAGGGAACAGTAGTGCAATCTGCCTTTCTCCTCTGATCCTAGGACACTTATCCTTTTATTTATAGACTGAGATGATATAAAAATATACAGGCTTTATCAATCCTAAAATACATTATGGGATCAGAGTTTGGTCCTCAAATTGCCAAATGTCCTCCTATTCCAGCATTCCTGTCCCTAGAGTCACTGAAAGTGATCTGTACTATAATAAGCAATCATAGAAATTTCCACATTTTTGTAACTGTCCTATTCATTTCTGTAGCCAAACATTCTTAAGCTTCGGGAAGACCTTTGGTCATTTTGACCTATGTTCAACCCTGCTTTCCCCTTTTGAAATGCTTCAGTTTTAGCTTTCTTTTGTCATAGAACTCATCTCCTTATTGTCTGAGGTCTTTACAGAGGCCCAGGGATCATTAACCTGGGCCCGTGGGCTCATGCTTTTGGTTATGGAAAGAGGAACGCCTCTCTCTAGCAGTACCTCCTTCTCAGCCTAACAGATTTCTGACATCCTGCTGTTCCTTGCACTTTCCAGGGCCCGTGCTTGTGATTCTCAATGGAGAGTGAAAACACAGATTCATAATGAAAACCAGCCCCCGTCGGCCACTGATTCTCAAAAGACGGAGGCTGCCCCTTCCTGTTCAAAATGCCCCAGGTGAAACATCAGGAGAGGAACCTAAGAGGCCCCTTGCCCAACAGGAGCCTGGTCAAGCACAGACCTCCAAGGAGGCGGCAGAGTCCAATTCCTGCAAGTTTCCAGCTGGGATCAAGATCATCAACCACCCCACCATGCCCAACACCCAAGTGGTGGCCGTCCCGAACAATGCCAATATCCAGAGCATCATCACAGCATTGACCGCCAAAGGAAAAGAGAGTGGCAGCAGTGGCCCCAACAAATTCATCCTCATCAGCTGTGGGGGAGCCCCCACTCACCCTCCAGGACCCCAGCCTCAAGCCCAAACCAGCAATGATCCCAAGAGGACAGAAGTGGTCACCGAGACCCTGGGACCAAAGCCTGCAGCTAGGGATGTGAATCTTCCTAGACCACCTGGAGCCCTTCCTGGGCAGAGATGGGAGAGCTGTGGTACGTGGTCTGCAAGGCAAAGGGGTGAGGAGCCCAGCCTTTCCTCTCTGGTAGAAAGGACTGCAGTCTGTCACATTGGTACTTAACAGACAGGCACCTAGCCTGAACCAGGGGAAAGTCTTGTCTTTCTTCATCCCAAATCCTTGACCCAGATCCTTTGGGCACCGTCGAAAGTACCCAAATTATAATTTAGCATTTCTCTTATTTTTCCTTATATTAGGAAAGGATTTGTTTCTTCTTGCTGTTCTCTTTCCCGTTGACCATAAGGAAATAGGAATCTTTCTCCATTTTAATAAAGGAGAAAACGGAAGCATGAGGAGGAAAAGTGACTTTGTTTGCACAAATACTAACTTTGGTAAAGTTGCCTTGACTGATCTCTCAGGCTCAGTGTGGCTCCGGAGTTTCTCCTAAGATCTGTAATGGGGCAGAGTACCTGAGGACCACAGTAGATACAGCACGTGTTCCCGGTCCCTACGGGTAGAGGTCTTGGAGAGATGCTCCCTACCCACCAATTTTGATGGGCCTGCCAGGCACTGGGATCAGGCAGCTAAGTGGCATCTTGGGTTGTTTACTCTCTAGCTGGCAGCGAGGCGGCAGGCTGCATTCTCGACAACAGCTTGACCAACATCCAGTGGCTTGGAAAGATGAGTTCTGACGGGCTGGGTTCCAGCAGCATCAAGCAAGAGATGGAGGAGAAGGAGAATCGTCACCTGGAACAGAATCAGGTAAAGGTGACTTCTCACTAGGGAAGTCGGGGACAGGGCAGGGCCCTTCTAAAAAGGGAAATGGATCAAGTGACCTGTGGAGCAGAATTTCCAAGCTCTGGTATTAGCCCTTTGCTTAGCGCTATTCTGCATAACATTTGAGCTACCTTTGCGCCTGGCATCTTTTTGGCCCCATTTGTGACATTTCCTTGAGGGTGGCTGTTCCTGGCTCACTGTGTATTCCATGAGCGCTAAGTTTGTACTCTGCCCTTAGCAGGTACTGGGTAGATACTCGGGAAATGATGAAGTTGAAATCTTTCCTTAGTTGGGAAAGATTGAGCTTTAAAGAGGCAGCCCAACAGTATGAAAGGAATAGAGGATTTTTTTTAATGTATTTTTTTTTAAGATTTTTATTTATTTATATGACAGAGATCACAAGTAGGCCGAGAGGCAGGCAGAGAAAGAGAGGAAGAGAAGCAGGCCTCCTGCTGAGCAGAGAGCCCGATGTGGGGCTCGATCCCAGGACCCTGGGATCATG